GCTACTATTGGGTTTTCCAATACTTAGATCATGCCTCATTGAAGATTTGTTTCTATTTGAAATCCAGATCTAGTTCAAAGATTCTATGAGTGAACAGAAGTCATAATCACCAAAGAGATATTGCACACAGATCACCAATATTTATGTATTTATTTAGATCATTTATATAGAGGCTCATCTTATAACAAACTCCATACAGCTCCCAAGCAAAAAATAAAACAATATAAAATAATCACAAAAACTAAACACATTAAAAACAAAGTATGTTCCTGCTTTGGCTGATTGTCTCTGACAACAGTAGCTGGTTAACTGACATGCTATCAATGAACAAACCAGTTCAAGACCTAGACAGATTTTGAAGAGGCTGGAAATGATTCTGCTCAGTTTCTCTGCAGGAGATGAATACAAGCAAGTGAATGATTGAGCTGAGGTGTTGCTGTTGTTGTTTTGAGTTTGGGGAGGGTAGTTAATTATCAATTTCTGAGATCTAGGAGATGCAAGAAGCAGCTTCTGTTTCTGTTATGTTTTACTCTGAATCTGCTTTGTTTTTATGTAACTATTTCTTTCCTATGATTCATTGCCAAGGATCAGAGCGTTCTGGATCCCTTTGCTGCCATCCTTGGTTCATCTGGCCATTTACAATCCGGATCATTGCTCTCATCCTCACCCGGACTGTTTGCTACTTAGTGGAACAGAAATGGGGAAAAAAAGCCATTGTTGGTTGCCTAGCAACCAGCAGACATATTTACAGTTTAAGAGTTGATGAGAAAAACATACGCAGGGAATATCAAATATTTACTTCCTTTCTTGTAATACCACCCACGAAAGTAGAAAATCCATGCTGGCTTTAAACATACCAGCACTGGAATTTAACCTCAAGGCTTCCTCACAGATCAGAAATGGTGTGAGATGAAGGATCTGTGACTGAATGTTTGCTAAGGGCCTTTGTTGAAAGTGTGAGAGGTGAAGTGAGATTGCCCATGTTATCGACATGCCCCACAGCTGAAGTGCACTTTGGCCATGCGTGATAGTGACCATGCATTAAGTGATAGACTGAAAGGAGAGCTAAGTGTGAAGTGCTAATATGCTGGCAGTGTTTCTTTGTGCAAGTGGGAGTCCTGATTAATTGGATAACTACATTTGTCCTGGACCCTCTCACAGCATCCTGGTTGTGAAGAGATTGGACAGCAATTATATTGATATTGGGGACACCAGAATGTACAATTCCACTGAAGGGGCTTGTGGTATTTTTGTTATGTTTATTATAAAACAGTTGTTGGGATTACCATTTTGTTAAAAGTTGTAGTGGAGACAAATTCACAATTTCATTTGTGCATATAAATACTGCCAAAGCTACGGGCTTATAATTGGCTCAACACTGGGGAAAAATGTACAGTATCAAGCTAAACACATTCTGTCAGTAAATCATATGGGATTTGCAGAAACTTCAAGAACAATTTAGACAGAGAAAATGTTTGTGTGTGTGTGATGGAAAAGTGTTAAATATATTTTCAAGCATTGTTATTTGAACCAATATTAGAATCTGACTGATATTTTTAATAATCTAAAGCTAAAAAACCCCATGAATTTTGGGCATCAGTAGATTAAAACATAAGCATATTATATTATATCCATTCCAGCCTAGACAATTCTTGATTTTTCTCACTTTTACAGCCAGAAAAAAAATCAGAGAGATAAAACAGGCTATTTAGGCCATCAAATCCAACCTGCTGTTCAATCCAGAAATCTAAAATGAAGCATATCCAATAGATGATTTTCCAGTCTCTTACTGAAAATAAATTTTTCCTACTAGCAAGTCACAATGCTATTCCCCTATCCTGGAAATGCCACAAAACCATGCCAGCATGAAATGTCACATCTCCATTGCCAATCTGTATCTGACTTCTGTTGCTCCTCTTCCATATCATTGCAGTCACCCGACTTCAAGATAATGAATGACAAAAGCTAATAAATTTTATAAAGCTTGAATCTATCCTTAAATAATAGCCTGAATAAGGAGGAAAAGTACTATTCTAACACTGGTACAATTAATTTAAATCTACCTAAATTATGGGCTAGTGAGATGAAGGCAATATCACGGAGTTTTGGGAGGAAAAGGATTGTGCCATGATATTGTTAGGTATAGGTGGGCATGACTTTCATCCCAGGAAAGGGATGAAATCTCACTATCCAAAATTCTGGTCCCCCCCCCCCTAATCTAATGACATGTTTTTCTATAGTTTAGCTCAATCCCTGTTCTGCACTGTGCACTCAATCCCTGTTCTGCACACTGTGGTTACTGTGTGATACTGATCTAGAGACTTGAAAACTTTTATCCGTTCTGTCAGTCTTACCTTTTTTAATTGATCCAATTTCTCTGAGTTTTTCTTAACATAATGCAGAGAACTGAACATAGGAAGGATTCAAGATGGGACTGACTAATGCAAAATAAGGTGGATCTATTACTTCCCATGATCTGGATGTAACAGTTCTTTTGATGCAACCTAAAATTGCATTTGCTTTTTTGGTGCTATGTCATACCGCTGAGTAATGCGATGGATGATCAAATACAGTTCCAGTTCACACATACAATTACTTTTGGCAGTCATGGCTTTTTATTTTCACTTCTGTTTTTAAAGCACCATCGATAAAAATACTTTTTATTTCTTCTCTTTCTCTCTGTCCACACTTGTCATCTAATAGGGTTGATTTATTATATCTTTGCCCCTTAAACTCCACAGCCAAACTCCTGTTAAGTCTCCCTGATTGGGTCTGCCAGGAAGTGAACAGATTTATTTTTTAAGTTGTTAAGAATAGTTTCATACTGCCTATGATATTCTTTTTCTTCTAAACTGAATCACATGAGTTGGTGAGCAGAAATTAGGATTGAAACTATAGCATCTGGGGGAGAGTTTTTCTAACCCCTTCCTCTATTCAAGAAGTGATTCACATAGAAACATCCTCTCTGAAGTCGCTATTACTTTGGGGGGAAGTTTCCATTGACACTACAATATATTCTCTTTAGTTCTCCCTTAGCTTGGTGGAGTTTTCTTACTATATGAGATAAATGTTAGTCTTCTTTAAAACTGAGAAACTTGATTTTACTCTCTGTGATAATGTTTCAGAATTAAAAAAATGCATCATAACTCATTTTTTTTTTCAAGGTTACACAAACTCAACTTTTTCAGTGTCCCTTCACAGGGATTAGATTCTAGTTCCTTGATCATCTTTGTTGCCTGTTTCTAGTTTAATTTCTTTGATTTTTTATTAAAACTATGATTTTTAGTATTACAAAAAGTGCTGATGGTGAGGGGTCAAGCCAAATAAAATAGATCACAAATCACAGGAAATGTGATTTGTAAATTATGCTTATGTTAATACAATTGCAATTGTTTTCTTTGCAGTCACATCACTTTGTTGACTTATATTCAGTTTGCAATAAACTACAATTCCAAGATCTTTTTCATAAATACTATAACCAAGACAGGGGTCTGACAGGTCTGCAATTTGATGATTTTCTTTTTCCTTTTTGAAGCTCCCCTCTAGTTATCTGGTGCTTCACCAGAATTTCTCAAAGGCAATATATAAGAACTTGGTCTGATTATCACCTAACTATTTCAATATACTACAGTACAGTTAATTTGTCCAGGAGATTTAAACTCATCCAAAGTGCACAATTATTCTCTGATCATCTTTGCATCAGTCACAAGCATCAATCCTGCCCTATCATCTTCTCTATCACAATTTCCAGGTGAAGCAATATTCTTATTACCCCAAAGCATTGTGCCTTCTAAACAGCTGGTATATCGATTCTTTTCCTTTCCTTTCCTTTTCTTTTCATAATACTTTTTTTTTGCTAGTAAACTTTGTACCTCAACTTCGTCTGAGCTTTTAATTTCCTAGCACCAGTTCTACCTCTTCCTTGGTAACCTGGTCAGCAACACAAGTCAGAAATGTCTCAGAATAACTGTACTTGGAAGAGGGAGAAAAATCTATTTTAAAGAGAGAAACTTGTCAACAGATTTTGTAATTTCTCTTTCCTATAACAAAGGGTGATATAGGAGAAAGATAGTTACTTCATTCAAGATGATTACCTCTGCTGGATTACATCCCCAAAATAGATGATGTTAAAGTTAGCCAATTACTGGCCAGAGATTGTTATTTCTGGAGCAGATACATTTACAGATAAAATGCAGAGAATTAAACAAGAAATCTACTTCTACATGATTTGGTTACTTCTGTACAAGTGATACCTAGGTGAATGATAGCAAATAATGGAAGATTCTGTATCTAGGAATATTTGCTGGGAGAATGGGTGAATGCAATAAAAATTTACAACTGTTTGTTGTAGTCAGGCAGTTGTAGACTCCACAGCCCATGTCTTCTCAATAAAATTATATTTCTTTTCTTGGTTCTATCAACAAATCAACTTGTTTGTGAATATTCTTAAATAATCTCACATTTATTGTAACCCAAAGAGGATATTTTCTTCCTTTCTGCTTGACTGATGAATGCTAACAGGGCCCACAGAATGAACTCAGCTATGTAGTTTTTTTTCAGGAAAGGCTGAAATAATTTAATACTTGGTTTAACAATAATTTTTTAGTTCCTAATTTAATGGAATCTACAGTTTCTAATTGGGTTGAAGCCCCTTCATCACATATTGGTATTAGAAAAAGACACTGTTCCAAATAATCTAACTTGCATTTTCTAACTAGAGTAAATTGAACATATGAGAACTTTTCAGACATTAGCTTAATTGAATTGCCGTGGAAGAAAAGCTCATATTTGCTAATTTGTTCTACTTTGCTCCATAAGTTATGTGTGTGTGTTTTGAAGAATCTGACAAAGATTAAATAAGTATAAACTATACATGCAGGTTGCTCACACAATTATAGTCCTTGTATATAGCAAAATCTTTGATTATAACAGGCTAACATTAATTTCACTCTTTCTGCATGTGCATTCAGGTAGTACAGGTTAGGTGCTGTGCAGGATGTATGAATGAGCAGAAGAATGAAAGAAGCGTTACTTGGTTGGCGAGTGATCATCATGAGATGCTTCACCCGCTGTGTAAGAGTGGGCACAACACTAATTAAGGGCATTTTTCTGTCACCACCATTTCATTTCCCAAGACTTAGATGCAATAGAAAACTATATATGATTACTGGATCCTCACTTCTGATGATCTGAAATGCTGAGAACAAGGAGCAATGTTTCCAAGCCAGTCCAATTTCTTTAGAAACAAAATCCATTGTCCACCACACCAAAGGGCAGATATGTAGGGAAAGGGAAGGAGAGAGGGAGGGAGGGAGGGAGGGAGAGGAAGGAAGGAAGGAAGGAAGGAAGGAAGGAAGGAGATGATAAAGTGAATAGAATTGAATTCAATTCTATTGAAGGAAGGAAGTGTTCTTTCATGTCAAGAAAAAGGGGGAAATTAATAAAATAGTAATAATTAATTAGTAATTTCACCTTATATTTTTTTGCTTGTTTGCCTGCAGCATTGACAGGCTAGCTTTTCCCTTATAGAACCACAAGTTCAGGACTTAGGAGGAGATGTGGTACATGGACTAGCAATATAAATTAACATTTCAACTAGATTAGTAGAACCCAATAAAATATAAATATTAAAAAAGATCTATGTTCAAATATCAATGTCTAGGTCATCTAACCACTGAAATGCAGCATTGTTTACATTAAAGAAATCAGATACTGGACTGGTATATGCCCTCAGCTTACCTCAATGTGGTAATAATTCCCTCCAGTGGAAAAATGAAACCTCAGTAAAGGAGGGGAAAGTAGCATCATAGCAATTTCATTTACTCCAAGCCAGTGTTCTCCCAACATTAATGACATTCTGGGAACACAGATGTCTGGACCCTCTTTCAGACTGGTTCAGAAACCTTCTGTGGAAGGCCCCTAAAAGGCTTTTTATGGTGGAATCCTAATAACTAGGAGTCAGAAATCTTCCTTACTTGATCTCATCTATAGCAATTCCATCTTCCAGGACAAAATCATCCTCTGAGAAGACTAGATATGTGAGAAAGTATTTTAAAAATAATAGCAATTGACAGCTCTTCATCATAATGAGTACAAAACACTGCAAGGGTCTTCCAGGGCATGAATTAATTCACAATCCATTTACTATGTTTGCTTAGATCTCAATTACTTTAGATGTGACAGAAAATCAGGCTGTCCAATATGTATGTATGATTATTTTCTTTGAATGTTGCAGGAGAAGCATGAATTGGGCGAGGAGCTGCTTTCTATGGCAGGGCTTTTCAACCTTTTCACCCATTGTACCACTTTTAGGATATGGCAATATCCGAGTACCACCAGTCGCCTAGCAAGGTGTAAAAAACTTGATGACCCCCCCCTAAAAAAGAAAAAAAGTGATGAAGTACAGGTAGTTCTCGACTTACAACAGTTCGCTTAGTGACTGTTCGAAGTTACAATGGCACTGAAAAAAGTGCCCCCCAAGCCACAGCCGAGCAAGACACCTGCCTGCCCACCCAGCAGCGCTCTTCCTCCTGTCCGAGATTTTCATTGTTGTGAGCATTTCTGTTGAGGATTGGCAGTGGGGGTGGGGTGGGGGGTTGTTTGGTTTTTATTCCCCCTGTCTGCTGGGTGGTTGCAGCAGGTTTTGGTCACTTCACATGACCCTGGGACACTGTGACCGTCATAAATATGAATCAGTTGCCAAGCATCTGAATGTATATCACAAGACCCTGGAGATGCTGCAACATTCCAGCTGATCGGTGCTTCTTCTGGGCTCAGCAGACGCGCCAGGATCAGTGCTGCTTTCCAGCTGATTGGTGCTTCTTCAGGGCTCAGCAGAAGCACCAGGATCAGCGCAGAGCTCCAACTGAAGCCTGGTGCTGATCCTGGCGCTTCCACTGAGCCCTGACAGCCCCGAAGAAGCACCGGTTAGCTGGAAAGTGGCACTGATCCTGGCGCTTCTGCTGAGCCCTGACAGCCCTGCAGCTCCAGCCATCTCTCGCTCAGGCTTGTGCGGTGCTACCACTGGTTCAGCTCATACCTCTCCCCCGCTACCACTTTTCTAGGATAGTCGTGTACCACCTGCCAGGTGCCAATGTACCACAGGTGGTACCCGTACCACTGGTTGAAAAGCCCTGTTCTATGGTGCTTGCTGGATTTTGCCATATTTAAAGTCTTTCTGGAAATTCTCTAGAAATCATTGCCTAAAGCAAGTGACTAAATTGCAGTGGAACAATATTTAAGTAAGAAATAAACAACAATAATAGGAAGAGGAGACCAGTGTGGCTAAATAACAAATGTGTCCCTACCACAATTGTTGTATCCTTAAAATGAACCTGCAACATTGGCTATTGCATGCATGCCAAAGTATACATAGTAGTAGTACTTATAAATCCATTTGAGCATAGCAATACCAGCAGGAAGCATTCTGCCATAAAGCAAAAATGCTGTTGAAAATACAATAAAACACAATATGTAGCGTTGTTAAGGCTCAAGGACATCAATCAGTCTGGCCAGGGTGTATCAAGTGGCATTTTAATACCTGTGGTGATATCTAAAATATATAGCTACTTGGTTTTTTTTTAGTGGCTTAATAAGTGTGTGTGTGTGTGTGTGTGTGTGTGTGTGTGTGTAAAGGAAAAGGCCAAGCTTCAAAGTTGTAATGTTGCTTTAATCATTCAGTGATTGGAATAAGAAAAATCAGTCATCCTATTTTGCTGTGGTCCTATCTTCCCAATCAAAGCTTGTTGATACTATAGTTATTTTTTTCTATTGGTTTTTCCAAGGCTCTTCAGTTGCTGTGTACAAACAATGGATTCCAAATACAAATTTTGAAAATGCTGCTAACTGGGATCAAAACCGAGTCCCATGTGCCAAGGATGCCATTCTTTTTGGGAGTAGTAAGGTGCTTAATTTTTTAATCAAAACCAAATTTGCCATAGCCAGGAATTTCAGGAATTGGGTTTTTACATGTCCTTATTTCTTTCAGATTGTATCAGTTTTTGTCCAGGCATCCCACTCTTTGACAGACATGGTAAGTATACTCATTATTGTGACATGTTCAACTAGAGTAATGCCTAAATATATTACATACTTAAAATTGTACTGCAGGTAAGTGAAAGATTAATTTTGTGCCATTTCTATTTATGTTGTACCAGTACAAGTATTATTCCCTTTCAGAATAATAAACAAAAACAAGCCCAAACAATTATGTCTGGAAGGCTTGATCAAAAGCATCAAGATGGCAATCGAACTGTGATCAAAGAAAATGCAGTCAAATCTCTTCCTGCTGTGCACATAAAAAACAGGAAGGGTTTTGATCACACCATCATAACTGCCATTTGGACTTTTTGACCATGCCTTATGGACATCTGAGTCCAAAATCAATCACTTCCCTTGATGACCTTAGCTTATGTTCATTAGAAAGAGATACTTGGAAAGATACTTGTTCATATACATCCTCCAAGAACCATGGTTCAATTATTCAGATAAGATATGTTTCTCTTATTACTTGAACAGAACTATCATATTTTAAAGTATGCATGCAAAATTAATGTGCAACATTCTGAAAATGCTTCTGACACTAATTCATTTCTGAAGAAACTATTTTGAGTTCTGTTGTAAAATTCTTGGAGGTTTCAGAGAATTCTGCATGTGTTTGAGAGTACTCTAGAGATTAAAGTAGGGATTTGAGGCCTCATGGTTTATTCTTAAAGCAGAGATGTGAGGCCTCGTGGGACATAAGTCAATAAAGTTAAGTATATTCTTCACCAAGTTGATCACAACCCATGGTAACTACATGGATGCACCCATGCTGTTTTCTTGGAAAAAAGGAATTGGGCTGAACTGCCTTATTCTAGGACTTTAGATTATTATTTCCTAGTAAAGTCTACAGCCTTAAACTTTACATTCACTTACTAATCAGAACCAACTATGCTTAGACTTAGATCAATTTAGTTGAGCGTTGCCATTTGTTTTTACTTTATGTCAGTACCTTGTCCTCTTATTTTTATGTAAGAGCAACTTGCTTCTGCTAAGTGACAAATGGTCAGAATTGCCAGTGCTTACATAAGATTTTTGTAAAATACTGTTGGACTCAGTATTAGCCAGAATTGAATTCAGGAACTGCAGACCTTCTGTGTCTAAAGATGTACATATTGCCATCCCAATTTGGAAGGAGAACCCTGGAGACTGATAACATTTTTATGTCAGATTGTTTACTTGGGTATGTATGCAGCAATAAGGTGAGGATTCACAGGTTCTCATAATCAATACTCCACACAATTCTTGTTCTTCATTTGTTTCAATGGGAACCACAGATCATCAAATTTCTTGTAGCAAAAATGTCAGCTCTTTACGTCCTTTTCAAACCTATTTTCACAACAGATAGCTTAAATGTACAGATAAGATTTGCCCTCTCCACTTGATCTAGTATAATACAAAATTGAGTCATCTTTCTTCTATAACTTATGATTTCTTGGGACTAATCCAACTTCTGCTGAAAAAAAACCCTTTCTCTTGTCATATCTGAAGATGTATTGGCTCAGGAAATCCAGACAAAAGTTCTGTTCATAGAAAGCATAGTCAGAATTACATTTTGACTCTACCAACATCTTGATCAACTTAAAAGCCCAAGACGTTACTTTATTGAGCTAATTCCTGAGATACTCAAACCAAATATTTAATGTCTTCTGGTTTGTTTGAATAAATATGGTTGTATATTTATTTTCCACAGTGCTCTTATCATTACATGCTTCCCTTTCTCACAAAGTATGAGCTATTCTTGGAGCAGCACTTTTTTGTTCATTTTTCTTTTTGTAGGTTTGAGTACATGAGTGTTGGGGGGGAAGGGTTCTGCAGGTTTATAATTCTTTGTAGTATTTACAACTGTGTCTTGAAACCAGCAAGTAACAAATCTGAAGTAGGCAATTTGTGGCAAGCCTAATGTTGCTGAACTATAATTTCCATCATTGTTCCCATATATGCTGGGACTTCTGGGAATTAGTTCATCACCACTTGGACTACCACAGCTTCTATACTTCTCCAATTACACTACGTAGATTCCATGCTGAAAAATACCTTCAGTTTTGGGCCTCCATAGATTATTTTTCTCTATTTTCCTTCTCCTCAGCTATCTCATTTACAGTACTCTTGTTATTCCTCATATCTCCTCTCCTCTCAGACAGAGTATTATTCTTTCAAAATTATGATGGGGCTCTTATTCAGAAACAAAGAGTTGCCAGGAAACTGGCAACTAACCATTAGTTCCAACTGATGGAATCTTAATGAACCTTCTGAACTGTTGACTAGCACTCAACTAAAGAAAAGAATGGAATAACACCTAACAGCTAGAATTGTCTTATCTCTTTTCAATCTGTACACACTCTTAAGAAACCTAAAATATTGAATAGGAACAATTCTACATTTGAAAAGAGCCAGGCTCTTTCTGAGTGCCGTCCTCTGCTTGTGTTTTCTTGTTAACACATTTCTGCTTGTTTCAAATGCTTGAGCTTTTAAGAATGGGCTGTGCCCTAAAGTGACCCTTTCCCTCTAATAGCTTCATTTCACTATTGCACATTTGGGCATTCTTAAAGCATTTAATAGCCTAGTCAACATGCGCAAGTGAAATGAAATTATTTTGAAGCACACAGCCCTTGGTTGCTGCTGTAAACAATGATTCTGTCAACATATCTGCTTTTTCATTTACCCCCCTCAAACAGCATTCGTCCTAGGAACCTGAGGTTGCTACGGTGATTTGATTTCCCAGCAAGTGAGTTATCAACCATTAAATAGCCACATTCAAAACTGCATAATGTAACAACGTGCAGTTGTCTTTTTCCATATGACTATATATCTCCTTGCTTCAGTTGTCACTGGAAGCATTGGTTCCATCCCCTGCCACCTCTTGAAGGAGCAGGACAAGGTCTTAGCTGCAACCCTCAGACTGTGTGACCTAAGCTCTTTATTTTTATATTGGCATTTTATATCCTGTGAGCTGTTTTAAATACATATATTGCTATTCATTTTGATTGTTTGTCTTCTTTCTTCCTTTGGATTTCATATTTATTCTTCTTATAGTAAGTCTTTTTTGGGAAATTGTAATAAAATTTTAATTAATAATCTGGTTGCTTTGGAACCTTTTTGATTATCTGCCTTAACACTCCTGAAATGGTCAAAATTTGGAAGGCAAATGGTTTAGTTAAATAAATACATTTTGGAATATGAACAGTGTTGGAAGCTGTTCAGTATCAAAAGACAGAATAAAGAGTTGCTGCGAAATGAACAACATATACATTTAACAAATAAATAAAATTATACCATTGATTATTATATGCCATCAAGTTGTTTTCGACTCCTAATGACCTACCATAATTTCTCCATAATGATCTACCTCAACCTGCTCTTAGAATATAAAGAATGTAATGGAATCTGTGATTTGCAAATTACCGATCACCCAATGATCCTTTAGTAAGATTTTCAGGAACGAAGAATAGTTTAGTCACATTTCTGTTGCTTTCTTGTAATACTTATCTGGTTTGTTTCCTTCACTTCTTATCTATTAGAGCAATATATTTGGTTTCCTTATCAGAGGATGTCTGATGGGAGGGGGTAAAAAAAAAATCAAGATGGCAGCCACAACTATGTGATTGATGCCCTGCCTCTATGTGTGGGCACATTAAAAAAAAAGAACTGGGCTTTTGATTATATGATTCTGGTTGCCATCTTGATTTTTAATATCTCCACCTCCTGTCAATTAACTCTAGCCCTATCCCAAACATTGTATGGAGAGCTAATTCTGATTCTTTAAGTCATAGGGTTGGTGGGAGGAATATCACAGTACTATTTGGCTGGGACAAAAAAGGACTCCTGAGGCAGGAATCAGCTCATTCCTCAGCATACATATTTTCTCTCAGGCAGTTCCTTTTAAAGGAAAGAAACTGCCTAAAATCCAAAAACAACACATACCATGGTGTGTATAGTAGGTGACAGCATCTTATAAGAGTCTTCCAAGTCTGATTTCCCACAGAGGTAAGAAAGAATCATTGGCATTCTAGTCTATAACTTAAGGAATGTATCAAATGAGTAAGGCTATCTTAGAAAAGTAGGTTATGGTTTGGATGATGTGAAAATTCTGCAACGGAAAAGTACACCCAGAGAAACATTTTCATGCATTCCAATTGTGAAAATTACTGTGTAAGGGATGTACTCTGCTCCTAGTACACTAGGCAATGCTCTGGGGTTTTTTCCCCCCTTTCCAAATATCTGCTGTCTGGCAGTAAGGGTCTGAGCCAGGGGTAGGCAACCTTGGCTCTTTTATGACTCGTGGACTTCAACTCCCAGAATTCCTGAGCCAGCATGGCTGGCTCAGGAATTCTGGGAGTTGAAGTCCATGAGTCATAAAAGAGCCAAGGTTGCCTACCCCTGGTCTGAGCTAACACTGCAGAAAGGGATTTAAAATAAATGGATGTTGAGGGAAAGCATCCAGTTTCTTCTAGTTAATATGGTTGATGCTTAGTGTGTCTTGTGCCTCTTTTCTTTATTTATGTTGTGGGTTTCTTTTCATTTTCTAAGGGTCATGCATGATTTCATCTGTCCAAATAACCCATATAATTTTATTTGTGATAATTTATTCAGGCTGTTTAAATTGCTAATTACTTGACTGTTTAATAGGATAACATGCTGTGTTTAACTGGTCTGTAAGCATCCGCATGAGAATTGTTGTACTTCACTGTGTATAATTCTTTTAAACTTGTGGTATTTTAAGAGGCTATATAAGAGGTAAAATGATGGGATGTCAAAGCTAAACCAATCGCACATTACGTTATAGGTTATTTTTTTAAAAAAATAATGTAAATCATAAAAAATACAAATAACTAATTGCAGGTAGTTTTCAACTTACAACAGTTCATTTAGTGACTGTTCGAAGTTACAATGTCACTGAAAAAAGTGTCTTATGACCATTTTTCACACTTACAACTGTTGCATGTGATCAAAATTCAGTGATGCTTGTCAACTGACTCATATTTATGACGG